TTTCTTTCTTTCTTTCTTTCTTTCTTTCTTTCTTTCTTTCTTTCTTTCTTTCTTTCTTTCTTTCTAAAGAATGTTGAAAGGCTGTGAGGGAATAATCCTTTACGTTCTGTCACTGATGTCCAGTAAAAACTTTTCAAAATAGAGGACGTCTTCTGTGCTGTCGTACTTAATATGGTAGCCACCAGTCACTTGTGGCTTGTGGCTTGTGCATCCTAGAAATGTGTCCAGTGGCTTGGGGTGCATCTCAGTTGATAGAGTCCTCGTAGTCTGGGTGAAACACCAGGCTTGAGCCCTAAACCAAATTTACTAGGCTAGGTGACATATGTTTGTACTCCTAGCTACTTGGGCTATACAGCTAGGAGAATCAGAAGTTTAAAGCCATCTTTAGCTAAAAGTGAGTTTGAGGACAGCCCTGGCTACATAATATCATATCTCAAAAATACAAGAAAAAAAAAAACAATACAGTTAACGCAATTGAGAAACTGATTGTGTGTGTGTGTGTGTGTGCGCGCGCGCACGTGGACATGCATGTGTATGTTACTGTGGGTTGAATGCATGCAGGCTAGGCAAGTGTTTTACCACTAAGCTATAGCCTTCATCTGAGAAACTGAATTCTAAGTATAATTTTAATTAAGATTAAAAATGTAGAGTCCTCATGTGCCTGGTAGCTCAGACAGAACAAATTAGGATGACACCTAATAACACGGATGTAAAAGATTAATTTGGTGACCATGTCTGCATTGCTTACTTTTCTGCTGCTGTGATAAAGTACTATGATCAAAAGAAACTAACAAAAGAGTGTGTTTTAGCTTTCTGTCCAGAGAGAAAGTCCTGAATGGCGAGGGAGGCAGGGCAGCAGGTAGAGGGAGCAGGAGACTGAGAGATCGTATCTTCAAGCACAGACATGAAGCAGAGACTGGAACTGGAAGTGAGGTGATGCTGTGAACTCCCAAAGCCTGCCCCTACCCAAGATGTGCTTTCTCCAGCAAGGCTTTATCTCCTAAGGTTTCCACAGCCTCCCCAAACAGAGCCACCTGCTGGGGACCAAGTGTACAAATACCAGAGCCTATGAGGGACATTTTTCATTTAAATTATCACAATGTCTATGTGCTGAGTTCTATGTAAATTACTTAAGATAAATAGAAACTTGAGAACAACTTGTTGCTAACCGCATCAGCTAACATGAAGAGAGCTTTTTTATTGTTGTCTCTAAGTTTAGGCACTCCAAATACATCTTTACCGTTTGTACTTTTTAGAGCCCTTGGTTATTTCAATGTGGCAAAAATAAAGCAGTGAAATTTAAGAGGCTGGTGCTGAATGGACTTGGTTACAGTCTTGGCTTACAATATTTGTTGCAGTGTGCAGCCTCCTGGGTGACTAGACACAGGGTGTCTATGTTCAGTCCAGAGAGGAGAGAAGGAGCTGCTGGATATGAAAGTTGGACTGTTGTGGCTCGTCCCTCTTTTCACTCTCACTGAGGGCACCAGTGGCTTCCTGCAGGTGAGTTGGTACATTGTTGGTGGTTGATCTGGTGGTATGTATTCTAATGCTAACCACTGGTCCCTAATATCTAATTGTACAGCTCAGAGGAGCACATTCTCAGGTACACAAAGTGATGCTGTATAAACATTGCTTGCTAATATTCTCTGAGTGGTTAAATAAGATAGCTAGAAGCCTGTAACTGGGCAGAAGAGAAGTAGGTGGAGCTTAGGCTCCCAGGATTAGGGTCAGATGAGAACCATGAGGAGAGAGAGAGATAAGCAGGAGAGGAAGGCAGTAAGAGGGAAGTCACCATGGGGCAGTATGGACCATGAGCATGTGGCTCTGAGAGCTGGCCTGATGGAACAGAAGCAGCCCAGATGGGAACAATTACAGCAAGTAACTTGGGGTGTGTAGCTGGAAAACAGCACAAAAGCTTAGAGGCTTGATGTCTGCTCAGTTATGGTGCCATAAAGCTTTTGTTAATCTAAAAGGTCTAGCTGGCATAGAGCAGACTTCTAGAGTATAGTATCCCTTCCACTACAGTGCAGGTCCTGTTTCTCTTGGCAACATCTCTCCTCTCCACATTCCTGGTACTTTCAGAATCTATAATGCCCCAGGCAACTAAGATACAGAGATTGGCGAACTGGCACCAGAAGTCCTGAGCTCTTGCCCTGGTCCTTGCCAGCAAGGACTGTGAGGTCCTTGTGAGGTCTTTAATAAGTTATATTTTATCACTTTGAAGTGCAGATGACTGGATTACAAATGAGGCCCACTGATAAAAATTTAACCATCTCAGAGATTTGTTCTAATTCAACACAGTCTGTGCTATGGCCTTTTGGGCACAGAAAAGCCATGAGGGAGGGCACTACCAACCCTCAGGCCATCTCTATCGTTTCCACTCCCCGCTTTTTCTTTGGCACTGTTGCTTACTAGAGGCTCTCATACAACCTGGGCTAGCCTCAGACTCACAGTTTAGCTGACGCTGGCTTTGAACTGTTGATCTTCCTGCCTCTATGTTCTAAGTTTGAAGATTATAGGTGTGTGCCATCCTACTGTTGTTTTATGTTTTTGTGACAAGGTCTTGTCATATAGTTTCTGGCATGAAACTCTTTGTGTAGACCAGGTTAGCCTCAAACTTGCAGCGAACTTCCTGCCTCTGTCTTTCAAGTGCCAGTGTACTAACTTTTCTTGTTTCTTTTTTTTTACTATTTGTGTATGTTTGTTATAAATTTGTGAGTATGTATGTTTGCATGTGTGTGGACACACATGTGTGAGAATGTGTCCTGAGGTTGATATCAGGAATCCTCCCCAACTGTTTTTCTGCTTTGTTTATTGACAAAGGGTCTCTTAGGCCCAAAGGTCAAAGATATGATGATTCTTGCTGGACAGCTTACTTTGGGGACTCTATCTCCACTTTTCAAGGCTGGAATTGGAGGAAGACTACTTTGCCTACTTCACACCTACATAGATTCTGGTGATCCAAACTCTGCTCAGTCCTTACCCTTGCTTAGAAAGTGCTTTACCAACTGAGCCATCACCAGAGCCATGGGCTACTCACTTTCCTGATGCTTTTATCTAAGATCTCGGCTTGAATGTTTTCTACTCACTGATGTTTCCTAAAAGTGTATTTTCATCTGGATGCTCCACCCTGAACTCCTCACTCATGGACCCACCATCCATTTGGGCACTTGTACTCCTCAATCAATGGGTCCCAAACTGAACCCCTACATTTTTCTTACTAAATCTACTTTTCTTTCCCTGTGACACCACTCTGCTTCCACAGGGATAAAAATGATGCCACGCTTGAGTCTTGCCATGTTGCACATTCAAACCACTTTTAAAACTTATCTTTAAATGACATCCAGAAGTCAGACACGTCTAACGTCTTCTGCTGCCTCATATTCCATCTCCAGCTTCATTATCTCGCTTTTATATTACCTTGGTAACCCCGGAAGTGCCTTCACTGCTTCTGTGCTTGGCCATTCTCAACATGGCTTCAGGATTAAGGCTTCTGTAAAGTAATTCAGAGAGAATCTTTCTTTTGTTTCCCCTGTTCAAACTCTGTATAACTCACTGGGGTTAAAACTAACACCAGGCCCACAGAGCTGACTCACTAGAGAAGAGCTCTTGCTCTGCAAAGCGTGAAGACCGAAATTGGATCCCCAGCATGCGCTTAAAGATTCTGGGCATGGCTGCCACCCCAGTTCTGGAGGATGGAGACAGGCAGACACTGAGCCAGGCGTTCTAGCCAACACAGCAACCAGCTCCATCACTGGGAGAAACCCTGTCTCCAAGGAATAAACTAAAGAACGATAGAGGAAGACACCCAGTAGCTTCCTCTGGTGCTCTCATGTGCACAGAGGTGCACTCACTAATATACCCACGTACACAAGCACACATACACTCACATACACACTCCAAAACAACACTTCCCTCCCCACCCAAAGTTAAAGTCGTTCCGTGGTCTGATAGATGTACATGACCTGCCTCCATGGACTCTGGGCTCCACCTCCCGCTCTTGTCTTTTCTTCCACTCCTTCATGCTCTCCAATCCGTAACTCTGTCTTCACAGCTGGGCACACTCACAGCACTGAGCCTGCACACATGCTGCCCTTTGCCTCCCACATAGCTTTTCCTGCAGGTGTTATCACCTGTTCCAGGTCTTTCCTCAAAACAGCCTTCACAAGGCCTTTCTTGGCCACCTCCCACCATCCTTGGGTCAGATATTAGATCAGCAATTTCAGGTCTTCTGGGAAACTAACAAGTTTGCAGGTTATTTTTTTTTTAATTTTTTTTTTAACAGAAAAATGATGACAACAGAACAAAAGGAAATGCCAGTGTGGTTAAGAAAAAGCATCCAGGTAAGACTCGAGATACACTGGTACATTGGACATAGATACCCAGAAAACAGAGTTCCTACCTCAGCAATGGCCAGATGGCCTTAGGCACACTAGGAAATTATCCACAGTTGTAAAGTAAGGATAATAGTAATCCTTAAGAGCAACGCAGTTTTGAGGATTAAACACACAACGTATTAGTTGCTGTGGCCAAATGCCTTAGCAAAGCACTGTGAGGGAGGGACGGCTTATTTGGGTTCCTGATTTAAGAGGCCATGCAGTCCACTGTGGCAGGAAGGAATGGCAGCTGGAGCGTGAGGCCACTGGCCACACTGAGTTCCCATTCAGGAAGCTCCGGGACGAAGGCTTGCTTTCTCTCTTTTCAACATGGAATGCTTTAGATAAGATCTCCCCAACATTAACAATGAGAATAAAAATATAGCAAGGATTTATTTATTAATTGCTCTGCCATTATGCTAGCCTATATTTAGTTCTATTATATGAATTAAACCCTCACACTTACCCTATGACTGTTTATTTTAAAGACAGTGAAACTGGCCCCAGAGCTAGGGGCTGTAAGACAGGATTAAAATCAGGCTATCTGGCTTCGGCACCAGTAACTCCTGAGAAAGTAACCATGGTTACAGTTACCCTGTTCCCCATTTTTGCTGGGTACTCCTAAGGCCTGGGGGAACTGTGGGCAAGATTTGAACCTGGTCAGTCTGGCTGCAGAGCTGGCATGTTCAAAGGCTTGAGGTAAGATTGGGCCTGGTGTGGAATCTGAGGACACCTAGTATGGAAGGCTTGCCTTTGGGGGAGAGAAAAGAGAATTCTTTATTTATAGAAATAGGTAGCTGGAGGTAAGTGCACACAGATGCAAGCTCAGGTCTAGTTGTGCTTTGCTTTTGGATTTGAAGCAAATCCTCAAACTCCCACTATTAATAAAACCAAACCAAAACAACAACAAGAAAAACCAAGTTCTTTGGAAAGGATGAACTTGGGGATTTTAATGATACTTCAAGGATACCAAAGCTGGGGTAGAGAGGAAGAGTGAGTAGATATTCAAGCCTGTTTCCCCCTTGAGTCTAGGGTAGGACAGAGAGTGTGGGAAGAGGGAGGAGATATATATATGAGGCATGTATGAGACACATCTGCTGGTCACATGTTAATGTCTGGATGTGCAGACTTTAGCAATGAGTATTAGGGACAGTCCAGGAGCTCTGAGCAGGACTCTGATGACTGCTAACTGGTCTTCCCCGCAGACGGCTACCTTCTAATAACCCCTCTCTACCTCCAGTCCAGGAGTATGAGCTGCTTCTTCAGATGACTTACAGAGATCCGGAGGAGAAGAAAAAATTGAAGAACTTTCTGCAGCGCTTGAAATCTTCATCACGGCCCTTACCTGGGCCCAGCGAGGTCATCAGAGTGAAGGCCACCACATGTAAATTAGCTTTCCAGGGACTGGGCCTGTAAATGGGGAGAGGGGCAGGCGAGTCAGGGTAGGTAGGTTGTGCTGTGAAAAAGATCAGCTCTGTGGCATCAAGAACTAGTGTTTCTTCTCCATGCATGTTGGCAAGAGGGCTGTGCCTGTGGTCATCCTTCAGGTACCAACTGACGGGAGAGATTCTATTTCAAACGTATGCCTTCTGAGCAGCAAAGAAATGAAATCCTGGAGACCTCACACAGGCAATGAAATGACATTCTTTGGCTGAGAACAAACAGACATTAATTCCAGTCCTATTTTATTGGCCAGAATTTATTCTATGTCTCAGTCTAGCCTCATGACACCAGGATATGAAATTCCACTGTGTGCCCTGAAGATAGCAAAAAATATTTGGTAACTCAAACCATGAAAGTGGTTTCCAGGGAAGATTAATGGCTTGGTTAAAACTGTGAATATTAAAATGTACAGATCCCAAACAGCAGCAGGAGCAGGGAACTGAATAGAAATGCAAATTCTTTGGTCTGTTTCAGACTGGTTGATCAGATACTCTGGGAGGAGATGCTTCTTGGTAGGATTTCACAAGCACCCACTACACGGTTTCATGCATGTTTCTCAAACATAACCCTGACCATTCCGGCTTCACCTCTCTGTTAAGAAGGAAGAACTTTTGGTTCTTGTACTGTCATGTCCAGTACAAAATCCCAAACACACAACATTGACTGGTACATGCTTTTATCATGTGCCTCTAAATCATTCAGCCTTTGTAAAATTTTAAATATTTACATTTTTAAGTGTGTAAGTATTTTGCCTGCATGTCTATGTGTTTACTGTGTGCATGCTTGGTACATGAGGAGGCCAGAGGAAGGCTTCAGATCCCCTGGAACTGGAGTTCCTGATGCCTGTGAGATACCATGCGGGTGCCAGAAACCAATCCCAGGTCCCCTGCAAGAGCAGCAAGTGCTCTTAAACACTGAGCAGCATCTCCAGCCCTGCCATGTGCAGTGCTGATAGGTGGATGGGTGGGGACTCAGATGAGGCGGTGGTCAAATGCCCTTTAGACCCCTTCAAAAACTCTATGCTGTGCCTATGCTCTTCTGCCTTTTCCTTCCATCACAGCAGATACCTGAGAGAGCCATAGCCTTGTTTTGGATGCCAAGCCCAGTCGTTTGGGTTTTATGTTTGCTAGGATTTTCACGCCAGCCTATGAAGTTGGACATTTCTATATCTTAAGCTCATTGCCATCCTTCCAGCTTCTGCTGAGAAATCCTCAGTGCAGATTGCAAGTCGGCACCAAGGACTGAGCAGAAGTCGGTTTAGAAAGCAGACCTTGCGAGAGCATGTTCTATTTCTTTTTCTCTGTGCAGACTGCAGAAGCCTGTGGGGGTCCCTGGAGTGTGCCTGTGAAGACAGCTACATGTGGTTCCCCCCCTCCTGCCTCGACCCCCAGAACTGCTACCTTCACAAAACTGGACCCCTCCCAAGCTGCAAATGCCCTCTCAGGAGCCTCAGCCAGAGCACTCGTTTCTGTGAGAGAGGAAGTAAGTGCCTCTTGGCTAGGGTGCTCTCATCCCAGCATACCACAGACATGTACTGTACTCTTTGATGCTGAGGGGCAGTGATGAGTTGGAGGTGCCCTGCTAGCTTTGTGTAGACCCAGTGAAGGCTTCCTAAATGCAGCAGACCCCAAGCTACAAGATCATGTTTGGAAGCTAGGTGCATGCAGCTCCGCTCTGCGGTTGAGAGATTCTGTTGAGATCTAGAAAGATGCACTGAAATCCAAGTGGGTAACTGGCCGAGCCTGAACGTCTTCCTTCTTCCTTTCTCTTCTTTACCAGCATCACTTCTAGATGTGTGAATACAGGAAGAACACTTGGTGACTATATTGAAAGGAATGCTCTAGATTGCAACAAACATATTCAGAGCTACACACACACACACACACACACACACACACACACACACACACACACA